TCAATCCCCGGAATTCACCACTTGTAATTGTCATAAAGCATACACTCTAGGGCGGAGAGAGACAAACATGACTACTTATGCATAATGGGCCTCCCACTCCTCGATTATTAATTGTGAAGTTTGGGATACTTGTGTAAACAATAATCTTCTTCAAGGTGTATTCATAGCACATTGCAAACAGCTGGTGTATGCCCTACGAGACCTCTCATGGCCACTTGTAGGAATACCTGGCAGACCCGGTACTAAGGGTTTTAGACACTTGATTACTACACTCAACATCAAAGGGAATTATTCAATGATAGGTGCTAAGTGGCATTAGAAACCACTCCTTTTTTCATGAAAGCACTAAGTGCAAACTCTCGGCGAACATGCACATGCGACAATACTGCTAATTGAATGGGCCTGGGCTATTTGTATGGGTTTACTCGTGGTCTCCTGCTAATAGCTCGCAGAGAGTATGATCACGGGCTAGTAGATAGCATGAGGGGAGTCGATACGTGCATTCGTTGTGACTTCCTGAGCCCCCAAGGTACACAGAGCGAGCGGATCAGATCTCGGTAAGCCCAGTGCGATTATACAATTGGCTTTTTGCTGTTTTATGGCTATCTCGAATGCAATCATTACATGGAAAATCACCTTTTATTTTTCAGGCTAGCGTACGCTCTGACAGCCTGTATCCTTATAGCCGCCTCGTAGCCTGTCGTGCCGGATCAGCATCGCCACACACACACAGCAGACACCAACAACTACATCCCTCGCTGCGCATGCTCACGCGAGGTCTAATAGAATGCAAGACATGACTCATTTCACATACTATAGTGAGCTGGTCCAGTTTTAACAGACTCCTATGGAAAGTATAGCATAGAATGTACAGCCTCACTCGACTGTGTTTGCGAGCAACTAGCAGTCTAATTTGATCCGACTACAGGATGAGTCTAGCGTACTAGAAAGTTAAGCAGCTGCCGGTGAGGAGTGTGATTTAAACTAGAAAAGGAAAGAGGTAACAGTCAGAGTGACCAAAATTCCTGAGCATCTACTCAGTACTGTATGTTTCACACGGCACACGATTAATCATACTAGCCATGGGCATAACCTCTGTTATCTCATCATCCATCAGGAACACATCATCCAACACAGCTTATCCCATCCGTGTGTGTATCTTCTTTGTTCCAGACCTGCAGAGGTGGAGATATGAGACCCGCGTCACGATTCTGCTGATATAGTGGTATAGTCTATTACCCATTCTTCTTACTGCCACTTTTTTGTGACGATGAATTATCGAATTCGCCTCCAATGGTCTGTTTGCGTAAGCTATGAGGCCCCGCACTCCTGTGACTTTATTAGGGTGAACCTGGGGGCCAAGGGTCCTGTACTATGCTTATTGACGGACGGAAGTGAACAACCATCATGTAAAAACCGAAGTATAATCAAAATGCTAAGCAAACAGTAACAGCTCATCCTGGGGAATTGCAAGCTGCATCAATACCTGTGCCGGATAAATTATACTTCTATACAGCGTTAGGTAATCTTATATGGCAGTTTCAAAAACACATCGAAGTATGCCACCTTTATGTACACATCATTATCAGGTAGTCCCTAGGAGTAGTCTTATAACCACTGCCTGGGCTTCCTCTTGACAACAGCTAAATGTCAGATTAATCAGATTTGGGTACACCTTTGGGTGCCAGGGGTATCTACTTAAATAAGCAGCTGATAGATGCTATCACATATTAAGCGCCTAGTATCTCGCCATCTAATATATTATCAATTCTTAGGGACTTCGTGAGCTCTGTGCCTTTATCATGTATCGGTTTGATAGGTTTGACGTGATGGCAAGTGTGCTCTATGAGCGCACAGCGCGAATAGAAACCTCTTGGTATCTTTTTTCGCTTTCTTCTCCGGCACATGCTCCTGATTCCCTATAAGGCAGCAAAGTGGGTGTTGGATTAGGGAGTGACTATCAGGCCTCCCTGTTGGTGTTAGTACAGCTAAGTGGCTGCTATATCTACGACTGCCCAATCCTATAATGTGCCGTTGCTGGGGTCACGTATACCAAGAATCTATAATATATGACCGTTGGGTTTCAAATTACCTGACTCTGCACACAATTTTGTACTGGGAGTATGCCATGCCCATTACCACCTGTGTGGTATATCGTAAAATCAAAACTATGTCAACACTGCAGAGATAGGATAATGCAACATAATTTTAATTAGATTTTTGCCTGGCTTACATGTTGTGCCAACAGTTTTGATTAATGCCCAATCCTCTGCCAGGTGGCACTCGCCCATGCAACAACTATGACTAAATGACCAAACATCCAACACTAAAGGTCCCATATCATCTTCACTCTTGCTCTCACACAAGCGTATGTAGAGTTTGCAGGATGTCACTGCACATAATTCTGAGTATTGTTACTCATGGTGCTCGACCAGATCCATCATGCAGTGGGAGAGTTCTCATTCAGACTATAACTGGCTGTAAGCAAGCGCTGCGTGATTTTTGAGAAGGTCTTTCATTTGGTGGTCATCAATCGCTAGTTAGTCAGTTAGACCAACTGACTCATCAGATATCTCGTGTATAGTAATGGACCAAATCACACGCTGTTATAATGTGTCATACACAATGTAAATTTAAAAATCCTCTCAATCCTGCTGCAAATTTTAAGAGAGAGGCATCTAGGGATGTAAAAAGAAAGGGAGACAGATAGGAGTGGATACATGAAGCATGGTTAAGTGAACAGATTCTAGAGCATGCTGACCATAACAACCGACATAACACCCATGACCCGCGCTCACACAAAGGTTATAAATCACAGTTTTTTAATTACTTGTCTGCACTCTTTGTTATATCCTACTACGTACGTAACATAGATCAACATACAGAAAAATGCGTTGTTTCATGTGTAACATCATGCTGCTACCTAGTTATGGCATGCTGCTGTAGCAAATGAAAAAGTAAGGCCTGAAGTATGGTTATTTTGTTGATGAAGCATATTTTGTGTTGTCATGAAACGATTTAATACGCGATGCATACGCAAGTTTATCTCCCATACCTATGTTTGAGGAGTGAGAATCATTACAGAAATAGAAAGTTGTTCAAACACTATGTGGTTCTATGCGACACATGCTAGTGTCACTGATGGAATGATGTAATGCATACACAAGCTTCCATCTTCATGCATGCTACTGTCAGCAAGTTGATGGAGAGGGTCATGTGTATTGTGTGTAGACATTATATGTGGTTCTCAGTAACATGGTAGTTGTCATGGTATGATGTCACTATGCAGTGCGTGAGCACAAATTTCATGTGCTATGTGCTACGACCTTAGAAGGTTAGACGCTAGAAGAGATATTAAAGAAAGTGCCTGAGGCATGATTTGTTGTACTATACGTATGTTGCTTTGATGTTGTGATGCAATCCAGTATGTCTACAGTTTCATCACATAGCTCTTACAGCGTGAGCCGAGGCACTCTAACCTACGCTAACTCTAACGCGTCGTATTAATACCCGACTCAAGGCTCCCCGCATCTAACCTAGCAATGCTTAGGAGTATAGAGGAAAGTCGGGCACATGGACTCGAGCAGCCGTTGTAGCTGTTTTCGCAAACTCATTTATGAAGAGAGAAGACAGCTCCCATCTGTTTTAGTCATTTAACACCCAGCCTAGTCCACTCTTTAATCATTTCGTGAGGTCACGCAGCATGACCAGTATAATGTGCAGTGTAGTCCAGTAGCCTATAGATACATGACCATTAAATTTGCAAGTGAACTAGCCTACCTAGTCATCTGAGTGTGGGATTCTGTTTATCCTACTTAGGAGGACACCAGCTCATGCACTATGATGTCACCACATGCCTAACTTCTGACGTACTCTGATCTGTATAGTCACTAAGCATGCCTATACCTATATAATACTGCTACACACATCCAGTTCAAAAAGATCAGTAGTATTGTGAACTTTTGGACTCCGATGGGGGCTTGTAGTAGATGGGCATTTCTTATTTCAGTTGAGAGAGCCATGGTCATCCTAAGTTGTCCCATAGATTTACTACTGCTATTCAAAGTGTGCCCCTCTTGTGTAAGTTATAATACACATGTCTCAAAACTGATGATGTAACAGTGTATGAAAATTGCTATAATCCATGACCGGTGTGGCCGTGGTGAATGAACGATGTTCTTTACATGTAAGCAACAGAATAAATAGCCCCAGGCCATGCCGATGACCAAGAAACGCGATAACGTTATAGCTACAACAAAGGTTTGGGTGTAAACAACAACAAACAGCCTCGCTTAGTATCTCACAGGAAATGTGTGTAGCAGAAACACAGTGCCGCAGGAATACAATCTTGCATATGGTGTTTGTGCCCATAACCTTGCTTAGTCTTGAACCATATAACTTACAATAACACAGAGCCTCCGGTAGTAAATGGTATTTGTGACGTGCTTACTAACATACAATGTGGTGCATTTGGGTTTGGGCGGGCCAAAACCTTTCCTTTCTCAAAACCACATATGTAGCAAAATATCACATATTGTCAATGCTTGCACATGTAAAAAACCTCCACACAAAAAGCGCCCATATCGTGTCACCATGACATTAGGAATGTGTGGACCATTACGAGGGATTCCTGTAGAGAATGCCAAGAACGCAGCAGCATTGTATAAATGGAGAAACAACGAAGTCTTAACAGAGGAGTCCCTATAAAGTGTGTGCATTACCATGTCTCCTGTGCGCTCCATATTATCCGCACTAGCCTAAGCCTTTCTTTTCTCAAGTGGTCCATTTTCACCCAGTCAAATACAACACAGTCATTGCATGTGAGGCAGAGTTAGCCTCACCCAGTGCACTCGCAGTCTTAGATGTGTATGACACCATGCAACAATTTAAGTAAATTGATCACCCTGTAATGGGCATCAAAGCTAGTGTAACTGTCAGACTCCTCCAATGTTACACTATGATAATTATCCATGTCCATCCTATACTTAGTGATTATTGCACTTACTCCCACATAGTTCTAGAAAAGAGTAGTGGTCCACTGACACAGATTCTTGTGTCATCAATGGCTGGGGTAGATGCGTAGCAAGTAGTGAGAGGGATATTTTTCCAGTTACACCTTTCCAGCTTGAAGATGGTGATGATAAAATGTGTACAACTCCAAATCTTCAACAATAAAAGAGAATTATGTAAACAGGCAGCAAATCACAACTATGGGCAGACACAGGGACGTCATATTCATAGGTTATAAGCATAAAAAATAAAAGAAACCAATATCATTACGTACAATCCCACCAATAACTAAACACATACCAAAAAGTTACATTCACAAATATCTGCTTTTTTGTGTAATAATATATACATGAATTATGGTCACCTCTAAGTTTTATAGCGATGTGATAAACGAGGAATATGCACACATCTCCAACATTAACTGCAAGATGATCGATTTTCCTGCTTGTAGATGGCGCCTCCCTGACCGGCAGTGCAGTGCATTTGTGCTACGAAGTAACCAAGTGATTTCAGGTTCTTATCGAAAAGAATTAAGCATTACTAAAGTACATTCACACGGAGCAAGTAGATAATGAAAAGGCGGAACTACTTACCTATGGAATATATGTGCATGTGGTTACTGTGAGTGGCACCACAGGACGTTGCTTACTAGTGAAGTGCTGCCTTCTTCAAGTTTGTATTAGTAAGTTGGACTTGGTTGGGCGGAATCTATGAGTTATGAGTGTGTGGACAGAGTCTTACACACTGACCTGCAGTGCAGTATAAAATTCCATGGGGTTTAGAAGTACGCATGCCGTCATTTATGAGATTATGTGGTCTAGTACAAAAACTACACAACAGATACGAACCAGGTAAGCACCAGAGTAACTAGAACGTAAAGTGTTACAACGATCTATAGCACTGGATGGTATTATCAGGGTTCATTCTCAGCACGAATGCACTTGAGCTCTACAAACTCTCTATTTATCCTCATATTGATTATAATCTGCATTTAAAAACAATAAACTGAATTGCAAACTACTTAACTTTGTTACTAGCAGGCATGTACCAGGAGCAGTTTTTATGCGAATAAGAATTATGTAAAGCATTATAGTATAGAGGGTCACTCATTACATTACAAGCTACCAATGATACTTACTGGGGTGATAAACGACAGACTTGTTCTAGCTTATCCCTCCACAAAATATCCTCTTCAGATTTATTAGCAAACAAGAGCAGTGTGGACTGAAGTTCTTTCTTTTGGTGATATCTGATGTTAAGAATGGAGGTCATAGGTGTCAAACCTTGAAAAAGAAGATGACCTTCTATTTATTTGTGCATAAAAGATTGGATTTAGCATTTTTATGCTTGGTGCTTCAAGAAGCTTTAGAGGCTGTTGCTGCAATAATGCGCTATTTAAAATGGCCCATGCAGCAGTGATTGCAAGCCAGTGGTGCAAAAATTATTCCCTCATAATATTTCATAGTGTGACACTTACAACATGCAGTAGTTGCATATATTATTGTTTGCATAATAATTGTTACTGCAGTGTATGTAAAGCAACGGTTGTTATCACTAACTACGGTAGTACTTATGTAGTATATAGGGATGACAGGTTTCCCCACAACATTTGAGATTTGTACGTCTCAGATCCAACTTCTGACATATCAGTCTCAAAAAAACATGCATCCAAGAAGTGGCTTAAACCACATAATCAGTAATTGAATTTTTCAAGAAAGTAAAATTCTTCTTGTTGTTCAGTTTAGACAAGCATATCTCAAAAACCAGGTAAGATAATAGAGATGAAAATTTACACAATTATTGGAATCCATGACAGGTTGTGCAAGAGCATTTGTAAAAATTTTGTTCATGTAAACAGCACAAAACAACAAACAAAATAGCCCCAGACCATACATTATGATGTAGAGTTAATGCCAACACCCAGAATGATAACTCTTTGTACACATATGCAACCAATCATTAGTATCAAAATGTAAACATTACAAGTTTGTAAACAACAAACAAACAGCCTAAAGCAATAAAACTATGTAAGTGATGTTTGTGTCAATAACTTGCTTATGGTGGATCCTCTAACAATGATATTTGGTACACTGATTATAACCATGATAAGAGTTCATCAAAACATAAACTACACGTTTGTAAACAACAAAAAACAGCCACAATAAAAACTTGTAAACCATGTTATTGCCTATAACTTTTTGTGTGCCCTCTAACAATGAAACTTGGTACACTGATTTAACATGACGAGAGTTCATCCAAACAGATATTACAAGCTTGTAAAAAAGGAAAAGAGACAAGTAAATAAAAAAATTCTTCGAATTAAAAAACCATGGAAACAAGACAGGCATGACCTAGTGCATATGATTGATTAGTACAATGGGATGATGGTTACATCTTCAAACTGACATTGCTCGCTTGTGTAAAGACTGAGGAGAGGGCACAACCTGTACATTAAGTGATTAGGAAATGCGTCATTCTATGAGGTAGCACAGTCATGCTTTGCGACATTAAAGGGCTTGTGTCGAGGAAAATTTACTCGAGCAAGCAATGTCAGTTTGAAGATATAACCATAATCCCACTGTACTAATCAACTAGGACATCCCTGTCTTGTCTCCTTGCTTTGTATGGCATCCCTATATTCCACACTTTTTTAATTCGAAGAATTTTTCATATACTCGTAGTATTACAGGAACTGTTATCCAAGAGGGCTCAGTAGATCCGATAAATCACCCTTCATGTAACTTCTGACGCCACCACCGCATTCGAAACGGGCAGAATCCAGTAATTTGCATATTGATTTGTTCACTTGGTTTTCACACCAATTTTCGAACGCAGTATATGTTATGAAAATCACCAGTTGCCAATGTAGTGCCGAACCTAGCCTTTCGGCAGTCTTTTGCCTAGTGTCTGCTATGTCACCACACAGTTCAAAGCTACAAAAAAGCAATAATCCATACAGGTTCAGTGCTAAACAACTTGACTTTATTGCGTTGGCATCAGTATCTTTTCGATATCATGGCTGAAATAATATTTCAGACCTTGTTTACAAACTAATTAGCAGATTCATATTGATCTACAGGAGAGAAACCAGTGCCTGACTTCACCTCAAGTGAATAGTTCCTCGCTATTATGACCAGTGGTGTTCTTTCTGTACATGCAGGTATATTCGTGGCTCGTGTATAACCGGTATATTAGGGCCATGGAAATATGGCTGTGGCACACTACTGAATATTACACATTTTGTGCCAGGCCATGCCCAATAGCTCGACATGGGCACTAGAATAAATAAGCCAGTGCGTGTAAAATGTAGAGAACATTAATGACGAGGAACCGTCCGTTCATGGTGCAGTCGCACACTGGTTTATTCTCCTATGCTAAGGTGTTTAAACAACAAAAGGCCCAAGAAATACACCAAATTTTACACAGGCTTTTCAGCCGCGTTATCGAAAAATTAAAGTTTGACGCGCAAGCAACATTAAAAACTATCTGGTGTGAAAACAAGCCAATATTCAAAGAGTCATAGGTCGACAATATCCTGCAACTTTCATGCACAGCGGAGTCATCAGAGGTAACACAGAAGTCTAGTACGAGAACGGGATCTTGTGTTGTTGCTTACATGCATTCACATATTACGTATTAGGTAAAGCAAGGAACGCGTCGTGCTTTATCAACTACGCCCTCTCGTACCTTTATTTCGCGTACAGCACATCCCTTTCATGCATTATTGTACCGTGGGCGATTGAAAGGCAACGACCAGGAACGAACGAGGCGGGAGCTGATCATCTATCCCGTGCGGCTCTGATGCGGCGATAACGCTCCACAAAGGCCAAGATACGACGGCTACGACTCCTAGGGGTAAGAAGCTCCTGTTTAAATAGGCTGATTGCCATTCCTCGCAACGCCCTGGGCGGGAAAGCTACCGTGCGACTACGCATCGATGTGGGCTGCCGCTAGCCTCGCAGAGCCGTGCTAGCTTCCTAGCCATTAAATACGCTTGTGGTACCTGTCTCTCCCTTCGCTGTACCTCAAAAGCCCCATTTGGCGGCTGTTTGTACTACCCCATTTTGAAAACTGTGCTACGTGAGCAAGTGTTCTTTAATGACGAATAAAGCACTGGCGGTGCCTTTGATCCACCCACACAAAGTACAATAAGCGGTATAATTGGTACAATACTCCCAAATATAACAGCTTAATTTTTTCACTCTGGCTTCATACAACACTTGATGGTGAACAGTAGGGCCAGTTTAAACTAACACATCAACAACAGCAATTTTTATCTCTCTTGCACTTGCACTTCGTCTAAACTTGTTGAGAATTTTCCCTTGATCTAAGCTCTGTGCAGCTAGAACTAAAAAGCTAGCCCACGAGGACAAACATGCATAATTATGATTGCCGAGCGCGTTAGCGTAGGGCAACTACTCCGGGTTGTATTCTCGCGATATGCGTACGTACGTGTCGGTCACGCTTAAGAATGTCAATTAGTCACGCTTAGGGAATGTCAATTAGTCACCCATATGAATGTCAATTAGTTACGCTTAGGAATGTCAACTTCCATCATTCGTAACAAGTCTAGCTTCCGCCGTGCGCGCAGATTCGTAGGAAGTCTGGCTTCGCGCACAGTCAGTAGAGCGTGCGCACGAGCGACCTCAGTCGGACTGTTTACGCATTGGCTGGCAGGCGCAAGGAAAAATATGCGCATGCGCATTCCTAGTACCTAATTAACCCTCCGCGCATGCGCAGCGAGGGTTACTGTAGTTATCGCGTGTGTCTGTCAGTCAGTAACATAAACACCACTTGACTGTACATACCCTCATTGCCTTTGATCCAAAAGTGGACCCATTCTATTCAAGACAGTCAGTCAGTCAGTCCGTTCCACAACATCTCACTTCACAAGCCATCGATCGCTCCCATGTGTTCAGCGTCGAGTATAGGTCGAAAAATATGTGGTGTTTTCTCTGAAACTGCTGCGTTCGAGATTTAGAGCTTGAAAAACGAGCAAAAAAGCCAATATGCTATTTATAACAGGCTTACCTCAAGCAGGTCCACTTGCTCTGTGTGTCTTGAAGGTACAAGAAGTCACAACAAAAGGCCTGCATCGACTCCCGCATGCTATCTACTGCTGTAGCAGCCCGTGTCAGACTCTCCACGAGCTATATACTAGCGGGAGACTGCGAGTAAACGCATACTAATAGCCCAGCCCATCAATTAGCGGTACCGCATGACATACGTAAAAGGGATATGGCTTAGGCAATGGCTATACTAGACAGGCGAAATCTATCATCAGCATACTTGGTATTTTCCCATAGTGACACGATTTGCAACAGCTGACCGGACAACCGAAACCGATAATGCAGAGGATGTCCCTATTTCACTAGGAAACACATGAGAACACAAGCCAACCTGTTCCTGCAGCAATGAGAACCAGTTCTTTAGTTGAGTTCACCAAATCAGTACAAAAGGAACCAGCTGGCTCACTGATGAGTAGTGGATCTCCTGTACAATGAATAAAATATTGGAATATAATACAGCAAGTGAGAGCAATTGTCACTAAGCACATCACTACTTAGTATATTATAGGGATGTCTGTCTGAGGTAGAAAGGCAAAGCAAGGCAAGGCAAACAAGTCAACCACAACCAGGACAGCTATAAGAAGAAGAGCTGCCCTGGGTAGGGTTCGAACCCACGACACAAGTCTAGGCGAGCGCTCTGCCAACTGAGGTACAGGGCAACTAAGCAACTCAGATGGGCAAGGTATGGGGGCTATGATGAGTTTTGTTTATCTGCTATCCTTCAGATTGAATAGTCTCGCGGGCCAGAACAAAGGGTCAGACCCGCGAGAACACAGATTGAACTCGTGTAATATACTGTAGATATCAATAGCAGAAATTCGTTAGACTAGAATACTGACTAAAGTGTAATCCCTCGGCACAAGAAGAGCAAGCGTTGATCTGCTTGCACACATGCATAAAGCACCGCTAATTGATAGGCCGCGTAAAAGGCGTGCAGTCTAACCCAGAGCCAGGTTCTTACTCTAGCACAGGCTAACTGTATCAATGGTGGTGTCTGAGCAATGATGGACTGGATACACATCTCCCAGGTAATTTCATTCTTCAACGGCTAAATGGACAGGCTATTATACGTATTCGCTTTCTCCCTTGTTTTCACAATAATATCTTAAACCAGTCGTTATAATGAAAATCGCCTGTGTGCTGTATGATGGTATCGCTCATCGGCAACTGCGTAGCAGGAAGGACCAGAAAGCTGCAGACTAAATGAAAAGCACTAAAGTGCAAACCCTCGGCGAACTGCGCATGCGCAGTACCGCTAATGGATGGGCTGGGCTATTGCTTGGCGTTTACTCGCGGTCTCCGCTAGTAGCTCGCAGAGAGTCCGACACTGGCTAGCTACAGTAGTAGATTACATGCGGGAGTCGATGCACACCCTTCGCTGTGGCGTCTTGTGCCTCCAAGGTACACAGAGCAAGCGGATCAGGTCGAGGTAAGCCAGCATACTGTGTCTAATACACGCATGCGCACCGCTTATTGATGGGTTGGGCCACGCAACGCTGTCCGCGACCGTGCCAGTTTGTCGCTCTCGAACGCAGTCGTTTCAGCAAAATCGCCTATTTTATTTTTCTAGCCCATGTACTGCTAAAGCTGTAGGAATCGCTCATAAGCCGCCTCGTTGCCTGTAGTGCGAGAATAATCGCACACAGACAGACACAGGAATGACTACAGTAACCCTCGCTGCGCATGCGCGCCGAGGGTTAACAACAGCAAGACTGACACACAAGAAAAGTACTGTAACCCTTGCTATGCATGCGCACCAACGGTTCACAACGAATAACCCCAGGCAAAACATTTTAATGGGCACAGGTGTGTTATGGTAAGAGCAATACGTAATCACCAGTATTAAAAACACAGAAACATTTGAAAACAACAACAAAAAGCCTCAGGCAACACATATGAAACTTTACACACGTGTATTTCAACCTCCCCATGCTATATTGGATCAAACAACAAACAACATCAGGCACTTTTCTTCTTAAACTTGCGAAACTTGGTACACATGTATTAATTACATCATTCCCTGATTTAATTGACATCACATAATCATACCATTCTGTGGTGGTCACTTTTCCAGTATGTTAGTAATACTATGTGTTCACAATCTGTTCGTAAAACCATTCTTTGTAAATCAAATCTTTTTCTTTTCTTTTACACCATATACTACACCCTATACTCTATACTATATTTTAAACATTAACAGGATAAATTATTTACATATGCCCTCTCATTTTTAAATAATACTCTTTAAAAGGGGGAAATCTCCCTTTACAAGCATCTAACCGGATTATATGTTTTTTACCGTGACCAAGTTTGGGAATGAAAAGTGCCTGAGACACGTTTACAAACACATGTCGTGGGGATGATACATTCTTGTATATAATAAGTTCATCACCATGCATGCCAGTTTGAGAAGTGAAGAAAAAAGTGCCGGAGGATATTAGTTGTACTTTACAAATGATCATGTATACGGTATAATACAATACACGGTGAGTACCAAGTTTCATCTCCATGCGTGCTACCATGATTGTTTGAGGAGTAATGTTGAAGAAAGGTGCCTGAGGCTATCAGTTGTTCTTTTGTAATGTAATAATATACAGCAAAAGTATTTAACGAAGGGCCAGAGAGAGAAAAATTTCCACAGTACGCCATTTCACAGCATAACTTTAGAACGCAGTATTTTTACGAAAACGCCATTATTAATATGAAGTGCTGAACCCGTTGGTGTCGCTTCTTGGCAAGATTGTTGCGCATGGTGCCAGAAAACCTGGTACAGACGGACAGACGGACAGACCAAGTACTGTAATCCTTGCTGTGCATGCGCACCGAGGGTTAATAATGAACAAAACTCCCTATAGCGCCATAGTATATCACATCTATGATGCTACACATAGAGACTTAAACTTCGGATTTTTGGTCCATTACGCAGCCATAGTACATGCTGTCCACCTGAGAAACATACCAAAATGATCAGCAATCTTTTCTGATCAAAGTGATAATATTAATAAAGAATCATGTGACCGTCACGTGACAAAAATGGCCGCCAAATAAAGCTCTTCAGAAAACGGCAAATTCACAAGGGTACCCCAAGGAAGTACTGCTGCTGAGTTCACAGTTGGAGGGAGGCAACCTGGACATACACGTGTGAGTTGGCAATAATAAAACTCAGTACTTATGTGACAAAGATGGGACAAGAAGACATGCTAGACTAAAGGTCCCAATTATAAACCACAAAGCTCACAACACACACACAATACGTATGTCATTTTGGCTCTCAACAGCCTCACACAGGGATTTTTTAAAGAAAAGACTTCATAATCGAATGACAGTATACTACGTAAATGCACATTACGAGGGTTAGCCAAAAAAATGTTGTTACCTGGTTGCATGAAAGGGAACCGTTTAGGAAGTACGTAAACCCTAGGCACTAGACAATGAGCAAATTCTGCAAATTCTGCAAAACTGAAGCAGAAAATGTGACATAACACTCACATCTAAAACTAAATTGTTTCACAATGGAGTGGCTAATAAGCAATTGACAGTACAATAATACGCCGAGCAACCCTAGCCTTAGACCTAGATAACGCAAGTGCTGCTGGAAGAAAGAAGAACCATGGACAGCTTTCTGGCCTGATCAGCGGAGTGTACCACACTCCGCCTTACGAGACATAAGAGTTAATAAAGGCTGCCAGTAGTGCAACACTTGTGAATTAATCACCACAAGGCTTTGCCAGTGGAATGTGCTATATATATAGGTTAGATGCCAAGTCCAGGAAACTATGCGAATTAGAGAGCCGCGGGGGCCCTGAGCTGTCGGCGTTCGAGCGCAGCGAGGACGCTACTAAAGGGCCCCCAAGGCGCTCTAATGCGCGTAGTTTCCATGACGAGGCGTCTAACCGGTTTAGAGCTATGATCATTCAAACCAAACGCGCGTTGGAGAAATGGCGACAGGCTTCGATATCTTCGGAGAGACTATCCGCGACTGGCTTGAAGAACCAGACAACGATGAGGCTGAGCCTGTGTCTCTTCTCCTAGCAGCGAGCGACGACTACGAGTCCTCATAAGACCCCGCCCAACAGCCAAGTTGCCGGCCACTCCCACTCCCGCTTTGCTCCTACAAAGAGCGATGGCAACGCATGGCTAAACGCGCGTTGGAGAAATGGCGACAGGCTTCGATATCTTCGGAGAGACGCGAGCTGCTCTTGCCACTTTCAACTTCAGAGAGTAGCTTAGTCTCAGCAAACTAAAACGGTGAAGCACGCGTGCGCATGCGCGAGAATTAGAGTCCGGGACTCTAATTCCCCTAATTCGGACTCTACGCGAATTAGAGTCCGCTCACGAACCAATCAGATTGCGCGATTTAAATTACTTAGCTCTAGAGCCTATATTGTTCCCCACTCATGTATATGGGTCAAGGATAATACAACCTGAAATTTGGAACTAGATTGATTGCACCATCTTTACATACAAGCACAGGTTTGTTCATAGACATGTGCCAACCGAGAGCTTAACATATGTTACTCATAGTTTGTAGTTCTTGTGTGTATAAATAAACACAAGGTGCGTTTATATTTCAACTGCACTATTACAACTCTACGTCAAATGGCCCCTTTTTGGTAGCCAGTGACATATGCTAGCAGAAAGCATGACATATCACATCACAAACACAGGCAGAGTGTTCTAGCTTACAATGAAACTGTACCACATTCGCAATAGAGTTTTTAGAAGTAGTGTACCATGGTATGACTGAATATCCTGTTTCCAACTGCATAGAAGACAGGCTCTTCTGTCCAACTATAACCCCAACACAGGACCCTCGGTGCACATGTGCAGCAAGGGTTACAGTACTTGGTCTGTGTGTGATTTCGCACTACAGGCTACGAGGCGGCATTTATCAACAGCTAGGTGTGTGAATAAATATCCTGAAACGACTGTCAAGGCCAATATGCATAATTGCACTGGCTAACCTCAACCTGATCAGCAAAGTCCCGCATGCACCCAGTGTCAGACTCTCCACGAGGTATACTAGCGAAGACTAGTGTTAGATCAACAACACATAGCCCAGGTGTATGGGTTTTCAGGTGCGACAATGGTTTGCACTTTAGTGCTTTTCATTGCTAGATATTATTGCCCCGTGTCAGAGCTATAACATCGACTGTCAACAATGTATATTACACATGGTTATCGGCATGTTTGCATTGATTGATTATAGAAACGGATAGGAGGAAATAACTACGTAACTTGCCTAAGTACGAACTTACACAGGTAACTAGGATTAAAAAAGGTAAACTAACCAGTTTGAATTGTAGAGAGATATTGAGTCATTTTTCCTTCAGGGTAGATCTTTATCATAAGCTTAAGGTGTTCCTTGTTAGAATCCACAATACTTACTGCAGGTGTATATTCTCTCACTACTGTTTCACCTGTAAAATAAAATGCGGATGGTGTTTATTAACATGTTCAAGATATACGACAATATTGAACAATAGCAACGTATAATGAAATATTGCTATACTAGAGGACAGGCAGCTCAGACACATTCATATACAAGTAAATAAAAAAATTCTTCCAATTAAAAAGGTGTGGAATATAGGGATGCCATAAAAAGCTAGGAGACAAGACAGGGATGACCAAGTGAACGTGAAGCAGTAGTACAATGGATGATGGCTACATACTCTGAACTGATATCGCTTGCTCGTGTAAAATTTCCTCCACACAAGCCCTATATTGTTGCGAAGTACGAGTGTCCTCCCTTGCATGATGCACAGCTATGTATTATTTCATCAGACAGGTAACACCATCTACTCAGTTTTGAGTTGTGACTGCGTTGTGTGAAGTCTAAGGCTTCTACATTTGCTCAACTAACCAGGCGCCATCTACATACAGAATCCTTTCATCATTGTCCTCGCACTTCACTAAACAAACAGTAACCATGGCAACAATATAGGGCTTGTGTGGAGGATATCATCCATGTCTTGTCTCCTTGTTTTTTATGGCATCCCTATATTCCACACTTTTGTAATTCGAAGTTTCCTTTCCTTTTTTACTGCATTCACATGCATGGTGTGCAATAAAAAGTGGATATTATATGGCATAAGCCCATAAAAATTTTAATTAGTGGCCTTAAGCTATCGCTTCAAATGTTTTGTCGTCATTCACATTACATCAGTGCACCAAGGTGCATTGTCCACCATAAGCAAGTTATAGGCACTGACACCATATAAAGTCTTTTTGCCTGAGGCTGTTTGTTGTTGTTCACAACCTCGTAAGTTCTGTTTTGGTCAACTCTTATCATGCTGAAGTGTACCAAGTTTCATTGTTAGAGGACCAAGCACAAGTAATTTATAGGCACAAACACCCTTTAAGTTTTTATTGCCTGAGGCAGTTTGTTGTTGTTTACAAACTTGTAAATTAAGGTTTGATGAACTCTTATCATGGTACATCAGTGTACCAAGTTTCATTGTTAAAGGACCAACCATTAGGCACAAACACATTATACAAGTTTTATTGCCTGAGGTTATTTGTTGTTGTTTACAAAATTGTAATTCTTTGTTTTGATGAACTCTTATCATGGTACATCAGTGAACCAAGTTTCATTGTTAAAGATCCAACCATTGGCAACTTAGAGGCACAAACACCATTAAACAAGCCTGAGTCTGATTGTTGTTGTTTACAAACTTGTAATTTATATTTCGATGAACTCTTATCACTGTACATCAGTGTACCAAGTTTCATTGTTTTTATTGCCTGAGGCTGTTTGTTGTTGTTTACAAACTTGTAGGGGGAGGGAGGGCATGAAGGAGTGCCTGTTGTGTGATGATGAGTGTGAAAGTGTGAGTCATGTGTTGTGGGAGAGTCCAGGATATCGTAGTTAGAGGCACAAACAACGCCTTGCCTGCAACTTACGGTTTGGCCCGAGAATAAAATGTGTCCATGTGAACCGGTTACATCACCGACTACAACCGGATATGGAAGAACAGCCAGTTGCTAACAAGACCACTACATCTCCATGGCAGGCTCCCGCAATAGACCATTTGATACTACCACCACCAGCAACCGAGCCCCGGTGGTATCCCACCCGCCAAAGAGCACCTGCCGACCGCTAGAAGCTATTCACGGCATGGCCAGTTCCAACTGATTTTGGCGGGGGTTCGAAAATTTCTCGGCTTGGCATCGTATTATTGCCGGTACATTCAAAACTTTGCCAACATCGCGGAGCCACCCAATGCACTCACCAGAAAAGGAGCCCCATTCAACTGGACCACAGCATGCGCGGAAGCATTCGAAACGCTAGGAATTAAGCTCTGCCAAACCCCCGTTTTAGTCTATCCAACCTTCACCAAAGATGCGGGGCCATTCATTGTGCCGTCGGCATTGGAGCTATTTTGGAACAAGATGGACATGTAGTGGCTTACGCCAGCCGCAGTTTGAAGTCAGCTGAAAGAAATTATAGCGTCATTCCACGAGAGTGCCTGGCTGTCGTCTATGCAATTTCATCAGGGACGCCACTTCATGGTGTACACAGACCACGCGCCACTGCAGTGGCTCTCGGCACAGAAAATGGAAGGGCTGTTATGCCGCTGGGCACTAGCCATACAGGAGTCTTTCTGGGATCCGGTTCCATTCCTGCACCTGTGTGGCCTAGATAGGAGACTTTGTGCAGGCCAATGTGGCATTTCCGGCCCCTGAGTGTTAAGCCAGCCTTAGACAAGCACTCAACACTGCACGTAAATGTTCTTTGTGCTGTTCCAGGGTTGGCGAATGGATCAAAATGTCATCAAGGTAGATGAGCACGAACAGCAATCCTCTGAGGGCCGTGTCCATGAAGCGTTGAAATGAACTCGTGGCTCCCGTAAGCCCAAATGGCATTTGACAGAACTGATAGAGACCCATTCCTGGTCCGGGGCAGAAAGCTGTCTTCTCCCTGTCTGTCTTGTTTACCGGGAGTTGCCAATACCCGCTTTGCAGATCGAGCGTGGAAAATACAGTAGAATTCGCCAGGCAATCTTGAACCTCGTCCGCCAGCGGCAAGGGGTAAGCATCTTTTGTTGTTTTTTTCATTTAGTTTTCGGTAATCGACACACATGCGGATTTCACCTGACTTCTTAGGGACAAACACAGCCGGTGCCATCCAAGGGCTACTACTTTCCTCAATGATTCTCTGTTCCAACATCGTGTCTATTTGCTTCTCAACTTCCTGTCGGTAGTGTGTCATGATTCGTCGAGGGGGTACTCGCACAGGAGTTCCTGTCGTTGGAATATAGTGGCAGGCAATTTCTGTCGCTCAAGGCGTCATTTGGAAGAGGGAACGATAATCATGTACGAGGCAATTGTCTGGACATTGTGGATATTCATATGCCGTCTCATTGAAATGGGGTATGGCACATTCATCGACTATGTCAACACTGGGGGGTTGCACCACGTTGATGGCACAAATTCTTGCCTGCATATTTCGTTTTTCTGCATAAATTGAAAAAAAGATTGTGGTACATCGTTTGTACAAGTTGGGACTGATGTCCTTGTGTGAACAGTGACGGGTAGACTGGTGAAGTCTAGTACGAGTCAATTGTTATGCAGAAAATAAATTCCCAGAATTACGGGGTTGACCTGGTTTTCAACTACCACGAAATTATGGGGACCCTCGAGGTCACCGATCTTTATTGATGCTTGGACATGGTCCAATACAATACGAGTTTTATATCACCAGCTCCGGAACTGCAGGGCTGCATCCTGGGCAATCGTGACAGGACCTCTTGTCCAACTAACGAGGCAGATCAACCAGAATCCAGCATCACCTCCACTTCGACCCCTCCAATACTCGCTGCAGTGGTTGCTGCCTTGTTCTTCGCGGCAGCTACCACGATGATGTTGGGCTTCATCGTTGTGCGGGGTGTCCGCTGCCATGCGTGGACGCCCCGCGGCCGTTTCCCGAGGGCAGTTCCTCGCGATGTGTCCTAGTTGTCTGCAGGATAAGCACCTCCGTGTTCCGGTAACGCGTGGTCGGAAGGGGCAATCGCGGAGGTGTCCCGCCTGTCCACAGCCAAAGCAAAGTCGGCGGCGGTCTACCCGGCAGTGTTAGCTTGTCGCATCTCTGCTCGCTGCGAGTGCAGCCACTTGTTCGGTTAGTGCTGCCACCTGGTCATCCAGTACCTTGAACTCACCCGCCGCGGGGGTGACTGCTGCAGACTGGTGTGCTCCCGTTTCGTCAAGGGCCATAAGTAGACGTGCTCGTTCCATGGTCGTGGCTAGCGCCTTCGTTTCCCCCGTGGCTCCCAATTGTCGGCTTAGTGCTAGGAATTCCTCCCAGGAATTCCTCCCAGGAATTGGTGCAGTAACAGCTGATCGCGGCGGTTGCGTCGAGACTTGGCATAGCTTGGTCCAGTAGCTTCTTTAGTTCGTGTGAAAGCGCCTCCCCCGGGCGCAACTTGCGGGAGTGGAAGGTTTTGAGGTAGACAAATCCCATCGGCATCATAGTGTCAATGATGCTCGAGCGAGCCGTCGCATAGTCGGTACGTTCCCGGTCCCCCAACTCCAACCAGATAGCGAGAGCTTCCCCTTCCAGCAGTGTCGGTAGCTTGAGGGCTTTCGTCGCGTTATTCCAGCTGTTGGTACATCAGTGTACCAAGTTTCATTGTTAGAGGATCCACCATAACCAAGTAGCAAGTTAGAGGCACAAACATCATTTACAAGTATTCATTGCCTAAGGCTGTTTGTTGTTGTTTACAAACTTGTAATTTCAGTTTCAATGAACTCTTATCATGGTACATCAGTGTACCAAGTGTCATTGTTATAGGACTCATCATAAGCAAGTTATAGATGCAAACACGTTTTACAAGATTTTAATTGCCTGAGGCTGTTTGTTGTTGTTTACAAACTTACATTATGTTACTAATGATGGGTTGCACATGTGTACAAAGTTTAATCACTCTGGGTATTAGCTTTACCTAGTTAACACTTTATTGGTCCCTATCGTAATGTATGGCCTGGGGCTATTCTTTGTAGTTATTTCGTACATGTTAAACAAAACTGTTTACAAACAAAATAATAATTATATATAAGTTAGATGCCGAGTCCAGGAAACTACGCGCATTAGAGAGCCGCGGGGGCCCTGGGCTGTTGGCGTTCGAGCGCAGCGAGGACGCTACTAAGGGCCCCCAAGGCGCTCTAATGCGCGTAGTTTCCATGGACGAGGCGTCTAACTTGTTTAGAGCTATGGCAACGCGTGCGCGCAATTCAAATTCGGTGCATCTGAAACCGCGAACGAGCGCTGCTTTCTCGCTGGGAAGTCGAGCGAGAGGCCCAGGGAGGACGTCGACAACGGGCTCGCCTCTACGTACCTTCGCAGACCGTTGGGGGATTCCGCCCAACGTAAGTGAGCCATTGCGCATGCGCCAAATTTAGAGTCCGGAGAAAGTTTATTTAGAGTCCGGAAAATTCGCTCTACTCGAATTAGAGTCCGCGCACGGACCAATCAGATTGCGCAATTTAAATTACCCAGCTCTAAGCTCTCGCATGACCTGTCATGGATCCCAATCTCTGTGCAAAGTTTCATCTCCATACCTTTCCTGGTTTTTTAGATACGCTTGTCTAAACTGAACAACAACAACAACAAGAATTTTGAAAACTGACTTTCTTGAATAAATCAATTACCGATTATGCGATTTAAGCCATTTCTTGGATACATGCTTTTTTGACGATACAGATCAGACTGATATGTCAGAAGTTGGATCTGATTGAAATTGAAAGTGAAATGTACAAACCTTAAAATGTATCGGCATAATGCAGGACAACCTGTGTCCTCCCTATTATACTAAGTACTACTGTAGTTAGCGGTAAAGAGACAAGTAAATTTCTTTGAATAAAGAAAATGGTGGGTGGTAAAAAGAGCAAGGAGACAGATATGACCTAGTGTATGTGATGCAGTAGTACAGTGGACATACTCTAACTCACATTGCTTGCTCGTGACTTTTTCTTCCACACAAGTCGTATATTGTCGCCACTCTCGCTAATGAGATGAGTTTGTCAGCGAAGGATGTACAGTTTGAGGATGGGCAAAAGGATTCTGTTACCTGTCTTGCTTGCTTAGGAAGTTAGCAATAGCTGCACATTATACGAGGCACCACACTCAATAAAATATAAATTTCACAAGCAAGCAATGTGAGTGTGAGTATCGAGACCATTAATGATTGTACTTTCATCACATACACCAGGTCATCCATCCCTGTCTTGTCTCCTTGCTTAATTAACCATTTTCTTCATTGAATTTTTGTGTCAGTAGGCTCTGTATGTTTGTAGTTTGTTTTCTCCCAAGGACGTCCCTGCAAACCCAGTCTGTTCGAAGTAAAAAGCTCTAACCTGCAAACTGGTGCAAAAGAAGCACATGTATTTCGCACACAGCCACAAAACGCAACGGGCAGGTACTTGATCAGCATGTGCTAAAACTCGTGGAGAGTGTTTGTCGAGCTGAACAAGTTGAGCTTAATTTGTATGGTGTTATTCCTTGCAACACTGGTGTTTCAGCCTGCTGACTCCACCCCTTTTATTCAGCATAGTTAACGCATTAAAAATGCAATGGTTCTAGAGGCTAGGTTATGACTATAACCCAACAAAGTATAATAAGATTTTACCTTTGATTGATGCTTTTAGCCTAACAAACTGACCAACAGGAACGTGGAACTTCATACCAGGTGGTGGCTCCAGAGCAAATAATCTGGTGTTGTGGGTAATACTTTCAACAGAACTCACTCGGAATTTGTTGAATACTGGTCCTATATAAAAATGTAGAGCACACAATAAAGGTACATACACACTGCTATGTACTTCAGATTATTGAGCATCAATCCGTCACCTGGCGTTACATTACGGTGTATGTTTTGTACATTGAGAAAGGGTAGCCAACTGTACACCTCAGCAAAAAAGAGTCTGACGTGACCAAAAGTGGTTCAGTGGTTCTACATTAATGCCATACAATGACAATGAAATTTTGAACTCGTGAGCTTGTTGTAAAATGACAAAAGACTGGAGGTTGCAATACTGATGGAAAAAAACTGTACGCGAAAAGAGGCCCCGATTTGGATGTGAGGTCACTATAAATCTTTTTTGCAAGATGGTCTGCAGTTTGCGGAACCTGTGAAGATGGTGAGGTGAACAGAATGACTGCCTGGTGGTGGTATAGGTGAGTTACGGGTGTTAAGCGGTTACAACTCAGTAGTGTACCATCAGCCAGCACAATAATATGTAGAGGGAGCCACAGACTCTGCAAGAGTCAATCTCTTTGAAAAGACAACTTCTCCATCATAGGGTGATGACTCTCAGAATGAGGTGTTTCGTGACCTTAGTTAAACTCCTATGCCAACCAATCATGAACACTAATGAAAGGAGCTTCAGTAAAAGGATTAAAGAAGATATTTTTTATGAAAGGTACTGGCTTAGAAAAGTGTGCCACACAATCTAAGAGTAGTACAGCTGCTTGGACTTCCCTCTTGTCACCCAAGCGACACTGCAGAGAGGGCATCGCTTGCTAATCCTTAAGCATTAGTTGTTGCCTGTGTTTCCCTTGTGGCCACATGGGCTGTTGAGACACAGTTTTAACTAAACCCTCACGCACAACTGTGCCAACTATGTATCATATATGGTACTGAGGCCAACGCAACAACTAAAATTGTGTTTACATTACAGATTTGCATCGGGGAAGATTATGATACAGACCACTTTATAGCAACCCAGATACAAGTGGCATGTAGAAGTGCTTCCCGTTCCTGCACTTAGAGCACACTACTTATTGCAAGAATGTATATATTGTGTGGTCCATGAGCAGAGGAGGTTAGACACGGTGTAATTTTCACGTAACCTAAAAACGCAGTGTGGTGCAATTAGGCGCGTTTACCCTCAGTGTGCTGCTTTTTCTCACCCTGAAGTATGAAGCTTTAATCCATTGAAAATGTATGGCACGTAAAGGTGGAATTTAAATACACGCTGGATTGTCCAACCTCCTCTGGTCTATGAACATCTGCCTCTTGCCTTGCAACCTTGTCGATGTTTTTGCCTTTTGCCTTGAGACCTTGTTGTTGACACATGCATTAACTTAGTTTTGAGTTGGGCATCCCTATTATTATTCACGCTTCTGTCATACAGAAGTTGTTGGTATACTCATAGGCCTCCTCACAGACTGTAGTGCCAGAATAGCTGCAGACAAAGAAACCGGCAGAGAGACACACAGACAAAGTACTCACAGGTTTTGCCCATCATACCCATTGAATCAGCTCCCTTATGTCTGTGACAGAGAATACTTATATACGATCTAACCTTCAATAGCGGATGACAACCTGCAGAGAGAAAGTCTGCCCCAATCTTACACTAAAAACCTCCAACAGAAGGACGCCACCTACCTCCGGACAGAGGAAAAACAAGGGGCCATAAGAAATAAACAACTGTATGAAAATACCTCAAAGCTGCCGACTTCAAGTGTGTACAAACACACAATGCAAGAACTTCGTTTCGATGCGCCACAGCCATACGTAAGATAAAACTAACCTTGCTGACAGCTGCAAGTCAATCCCCACGTAGAGCTACACGCATGATCTGAGGAGGTGTGGCAAGCTTTGCACAAGGTCTTGTGCGGCGGCCACACCTTTGAGATCAGTGCATACTTTGACCCTAGTCGGGGTTCGACAGTATACACAAGCTGCATTATCCTCAAACTCTTTACACATGGCTTTATTCGGTATGAATGTAGCACAACTACAGAAATTTTGGGGTCTTACATGAATTTGGCTCTCACCTTCTCCGGGTGTCAGATATCCACAGAAAAATTTTTGGAGAATGGCCTCCTCATTAACCCAGGAGTGGACCTACATACAAAGATGTATGATGTAATGCAGGTGGCAACAGACATGAAACTACAAACACTAAGAAGGAAGACATGTTAGGGAGACATAGGAGACAAGGGATACACAGAGAGGTAGGGGACACATGGGGAGTCTTGGGAGACATTAGGAGACGTAAGAAAACACAGGAAGAACTGGGGAAGACAAGCGAAGGCACAGGGAGACTGGAGAGTGACAGGAGACAAAGAACACAGGGAGACAGGGAAGATATGGGAGACACAGAGAGATGGGGGAGTCTGGGCGGACATAAGAAAACATAGGAAGACTGGGGATAATGTGGGGACAGGGGGCGACACGGGTAGACTGGGGAGGGGAGACATGTATCCCCGTCATCCCTGTCTCCCTGTCTCCCCTGTCTCCCCTGTTAGTGTTGTCTAGAGATGCTGCATAAGCAATCGAGAGGGATTCGCCAGAGACAGAGAGATACAGGTAAATATAGCTGAAATCTCATTCAGACAGCACATGGCATTACATCATCAAATGGCATTACATAATTTCAAATCTCACAACTACGCATAAAGTGATAACACACCACACCATGTCTCCCGTCTCCCACATATCCCGGTCTCCTTGTCTCCCACGTATCCCGTCTCCCCTGTCTCCCATGTATTCTTGTCTCCCCTGTCTCCCATGTGTCCCATGTCTCCCTTGTCTATCCTGTCTCCCATGTATCCCTTGTCTCCCCTGTCTCCCCTGTCTTCCCTGTCTCCCTTGTATCCCCTGTCTCCCTTGTCTCCCCCGTTGCCCATGTCTCCCGTGTCTCCCCTGTCTCTCATGTCTCCCCTTCTCCCCCATGTCTCCCCTTCTCCCCCATGTCTCCCCCGTCTCCCATGTCTCCCTTGTCTCCCTGTCTCCCATGTGTACTTTTGTCTAGAGACGTCGTACGTAAGCGATCGAGAGGGATTCGCCAGATACGGGTACAGCTCAAATATCATTCAGGCAGCACATGGCATTACAACATCACATGGCATTACATAATCACCAATCTCACATGATACAGAACTAACGCATAAAGTGACAATACACCACATCTCCCCTTTTAGGATACATACGTTTGCCTTGCTTTGCCTTTCTACGTCGCTACCAAGTTGTTGAGAAATACAAAGGAAACACAGCTTGGGGGCTAACATACCTTCCTACTGCAAAAGGTTCAGTCTCACCACCTAGGGTCCAACCTGTCTGGCTGTCTTGACTGACGCAGGCTGCGGCGTATTTGAGCTTCTACTAATTGGGAGGGTGATCCCCTGTGTCTGGGGGCTGGCCCTGGGTGGTAGTCTGGGGTGTCTTTGTCCTGCTGATTCGCAATGGGGTGATCCGGAAGTTCGATCAGATCCTGGTGGTTTCTGTGATAATATTCCATCAGTTGTGGTTACCTCATACGAGCGAGGGCTCGCCACTCACCCCACCATACTCTCCGTCTCTTTATCCAGTAGCCACACCAGGTCTCCTTCTGAAAGAGCTGGGAGATCCCGAGCACCATGGTGGTGGTCAAAATCCTTTTTCAGTCTGGTTTTAAGCTCTTGTTCCTTTCTCCGGAACAGATCAACATCTACCAGCATCGGTGCTCTGTGTACTTGAGTTGAAGGTACTGTCGTACGCCCATGAGCAGCTAGGACTGAATCCACAATGCAATGATGTTGCTCGGTAAGCGAGTAGAGATAAGCATGGGTCTTCGTTTTTCTGGAGCAAGCGCTTGACAGTTCCCACAGCACATTCCGCCTCACTGTTGGCCTGAGAGAGGTATGGGCTACTTGTGGCGTGTTTGAACCCATACGTTTTGGCAAAGTTAAGGAAGCGTACTGAGGGCCGTTGTCCAATATCAGTACTTCTGGTATCCCATGTCGAGCAAAAATGCTCTTGGTATGTATGAGTACTTCGTTGGTCATGGTATTGGCGAGGCGGGCAATTTCAATGTAGCGAGAGTAATAGTCCACCACCAGCAGATAGTGCTTTTGCTCCCACTCAAACACGTCAACCTTCTGCCATGGCAGCAATGGTGGTTCCGGCTGCATCAGTGGCTGGGGTCGCTGCTGTTGGTTCTTGTGACACGCTATGCACCGAGTGACTAGATTCTCCAATTGCTGATATCCGACGCTGAAAATATTCAGGAACCGACAAGATCTGACTTAGGGTATCTCCGAAAATCTGGAATTGCATCTAGCCTCGTGAACACTTTTGCACCAGCCAGTGGAGCAAATATCTGATCAACTGCCGCCTCTCCCTACACACACTCTCGTTGAGACGACTGGGGTCCACACATATTCTAACCTGTCCATTAGGCTTCGGAACTACCACCATTCCCACGCACCATTCAGTGGGCTCAGTCACCCTCACCCCCAGGTCCTGCATCCATTGTAATTCTGCTTTGACTGCAGGTAAGAGAGGGATTGGTACATGACGTGGTGTGAAAGCTACAGATGGCTGCGCACCTTTTTGGAGTTTGATGGTACAGTCACCGTCCATTTTTCCTAGGCCATAGAAGAGAAGAGGGAACCGTTGTCTGAGGAGATCCGAGCATTTGTGTGTGAGAGCTTTGACTCACGACACTAGCCCCAGTCCCTCAATACCTGGTCTTCCCAGCAGTGAGCGATCAAGTCCCTTTAAAGCTGTAGAGATTGGGTTCCTCCAGTGGTTAGAGTTGTAGTGAAGTAGCCACGGGTTGATAATGTGTGTGAATCTGGGCATTTGCGACAACAGTCTGGGGGAAGGAGTACCATACTTACTATGTGTCTGTGAGTGGCCTCAGACACAACCTTCACCTCCGCCCCCGTGTCGATGTTGAAGGTAACCGGCTTGTTGTTTGATCTGGAAGGTTACCTCCCACAGGCTCTCTCTTGAAAAGCATCTCCGGTGTCACCTGTGTCTGTCTCTTTTGGTATTGACTGAGAGGACCTGTGATCTGCATACATAATGGAAGTGACCTCTCTTATGGCACTTTCAGCAAACCGCATTCCTTGCTGGGCAGTGTTGAGATCGTGGGTGGCTTTCCTGCCGAACTTTGGACAGTTGGCTCCCTCCTTTCTTATTGGTGTTTCCCTGTCTCGGTTTCACGGATTCCACCAGGCTGTCTTCCTTAAGGAGTTGTTGTTGTCTTTTATTCCCTCAGACTGGCGGACCTGGGTGATGGCTGAGTCTAAGGTAATGGCTGCGTCCATTTCAGATAGAGCTGAATTCGGGATTCCCACCACAATCCTATCTCGGATGAGTTCGTCATGCAGCATTCATAAACTACAGTTTTCCGCCAGCGCATATAATGCTGTAATGAAGGCGTCTACTGGTTTCCCCTCCTCCTGTATCCTCATGTTGTCACTAGGTCATCCCTGTCTTGTTTCTTTGCTTTTTATACCATCCCTATATTCCACTTTTTTTTAATTTGAACAATTTACTTATCTCCTTTCCTCTTTTCACTGCATTCACATGCATGGTGTGCAATAAAAAGGGATATTATGGGGCATAAGCCCATAAAAGTAACATTAAGCTATTGCCGCAGTGTTTTGACGTCATTCATATGTTTCTTGTACATCAATGAACCAAGTTCCATTATGAAAGGACCCACCATAAGCAAATTATAGGCACTAACACCATTTAAACGTTTTTTGCCTGAGGCTGTTTGTTGTTGTTTAAAACATTGTAATTTATGTTCTTATCATGGTAAATCAGTGTGCCAAGTTTCATAGTGAGAGGACCCACCATAAGCAAGTTGCACTAACACATTAAAAGGTTTTATTGCCTGAGGCTGTTGGGTGTTGTTTACAAACTTGTAATTTCTGTTTCGGTGAACTCTTATCCTAGTACATCAATATAAGCAAGTTGCACTAACACATTAAAAGGTTTTATTGCCTTAGGCTGTTTGCTGTAGTTTACAAACTTGTATAATTATAAATACTAATGATGGTTGCACATGTATGCATTCCAAGTATTGGCATTAGCTAGCTATGACACTTTATTGGCCTCTATCATAATGTATAGCCGACGGCTATTTTTTTTTATTATTTGTTGTTTAGAAAAGTCTTTATGGCGTTGGACACCGGGTATGGAATCCTATCAGTGTACCAAGTTTCATCTCTATACCTATCACGGTTCTTTGAGATACGCTTGTCGAAACTGAACATGACAACAACAAGAAGAATCCTGAAAGTGGACTTTCTTCAATAATTTGAAAACTAATTATGCGATATAAGCCATGTTATAGGTACACGTGTATGTTTACCACACTGATTAGACTGATGTGTCAAAAGTCAGATCTGATCGAAAATTAAAGTGATTTTTCTAAGTTATGGACATAATGCTGAGGGACCTAAGTACTACCGTACTTAGTGATACATAGGGCCATTTCCAGATAAGGGAAGCTGGCCTACTGTAACCAACAAAAAGAGCAGAAATGAGCAAACCGGCAGGAAGTACTTTTATACTAAAGATGGAATAAAATCATAGGGTCCAGTGCAAGAATATGTGGTTTACCTTGTCATAAATCTTTGTTGAGTCAACACCTGCACCTCTCATAAGCTGAGCCTTTCGACCTGGGTGGTACTTCAGGAATCTTGTCACATTGTACACTTTACCTAAATGCAAGAGTTTGTGCAACATTCATCAATAAGATTAGTTGCTCTTGCTGTTGTGCAGTATAATAAACAATCTTTGGAGGGAAATCACTTCTATTATAGACAAAAATTGAAGGGGTGCCAAAACATACCAGGGGAAGAGGTTGTGTGTGTGTACTTGTGCACATGAGCAAAATATTCCGGATATCATCCGTAAAACCGGCACCAAGTGAGTGGTACATGCAGTCCATGGGGTTCAGGGCTCTTTTACGTGAATAGTAACCCGGTCTCTATGAGTTATCGTGTTTTTGGAGGCCAGTAGCGAGGCTTTGAACACATGAAGCACTAGCGTAGCCGGCATGCGGAAACATTGTATTTTTACTGAGGTAACTAGATTCCCTATATTCTGGGGAATGGTGTGCATGTGCATTAAGACACATTCCAGTGTGTACCAGGCCTCCTTTCCTTTTCTTTGGAGGCCTGAGGGTGAGTAAAAAATATACCATACAATAGTCTCACGGAGCCAGCCCCTCTCTAAGAAAGAAGAGGCTCTCCCTTCTTTGAGAGGAGCTGACTACTCGAGACCATTGTATGGTTAGTCTCGCTGAGCTAACCCCTCTCCAATGAAGGAGATGGTCTGGTTAACTGCTCTAGGGTGATCTGTTATTGACACCCACCGCTTGAAATTGCCTTGTAAACATTGCGCTCCAACTGCTAGCTACAATAGAGTATGACCTCCCTAGACTGCTTTGGTAGCTCAGAGGACAAACTTCCGAGGAAAAAAGTTAGCCGGGGTGGCGACAGTTACTGTAGGAATGTTTCAAAGAATTTCAGGACGAAGGAATCACAGAAGTGGATTATACTAGGGCAGTCGACCGGACCCTCTCCCTTTTTGGAGAAGCTGGCTCCGTGAGGACGTTCTAAGTTCACGTGTGCATCGCAGCTGTATACACAAAATTGCAATACCATAATACTCTTTATAGCACTACTACTCTGCCTATTACACATTGAGCCACTTAAACCCACTTGACATGGGTGGGTGTCAAAAATGGACAGGGCAGCTGCAGCCTAAGAAGACTAGGTCTCATTCGTACATCCTGTAGAGGTAGCTGGTTAGCTTGATTCTGACAAGCGCTGTCCTCTCTCTGTGTGGGCATGCACACAGTGATAATCTACCCTCCCTCCTTGTCCAGGAGAAACATGGCGTAGAACATAGCTAAACACACGTTTACTCTTGTCAGAGTCCAATTCATTGCATACGGACCAACAAACCCAAGTACGTATATACGGACGGATACGACACGCAAGCATGTAGACAGCTCGATGGGACATATCTTTAAATCTGCCTCCTCCCCTTGCCCCAAACTTTCCTGACACCCAGCTATTGGTGATAGCTCACATGCATGAACTTCTTTGTATCTACAACACAACACAACCCAAAGGAAAACCTCAAACCTCTGTGCTATGGCACAGTATACTCTCACGTATACGTATATATACATGACTAGGTAAAATTAACTCGAATGAATGCAACAGATTTTTGGTGAGCAAAGCAGGCAGTTCAATACTTCGCATGTGTTTTCGCACATTTTTAGAATCATGTAAATATTACGGTATTTGCAGTGCCCGTCCACAGTTACAGATATGTGTAGAAAACGACTAGGCAGGGTCACTAACTAATAATGCTTCAATTCACTGACTGTGGGTACATGACACAAACAGCTATGGTTATGTCAACAGTTGACTATACATAAAGTAGGCATGTAAAGCATGTGGTTGCCTACTCCAAGAGCAGTTGTCTGAAACCTCACCTCCAACCATACACACGAAAGGTTAATAAAGCACACTCACAACTAAGTGCCGCAACCCTTGCTGCACATTTGGTGCACCGCAAAAACAAACAGAACATAAAGCAGGGGATACTTCGGGCTCAAGAATTCTGTGCTCACAACAACATTATATGTTATACTGTTATCTGACTGCAGTAAATTGCTGGGATTAAACTGCAGGATTTACCTCTTATGGCTGTCCAGCAGTCTCCATCGGTGTTGTGCAACGATAATTCAGCCAAACTTATATGCAAGGGTTGGGATGCACTGTGAGGTAGACTGTCACACAACTTTCTCCATTCAAACAAACTATAACCAGGATGCCTAAAGTACAAACCGCAGATACAAAAATGGCAGTTACATGTAGCTATAGTTGCCAGTTGCCAAATTCATATCACAGTCAAACAACTAGTGACTATTTAACACCACATTAATCATTCGATCTGACATAGGAATGGTGAAAAGAAAGGTGACAAAAAGTGGTAGCACAAGGGATGACAAGTAAATTAAAAAATTCTTCGAACTGGGCAATGGTTAATATAGAGATGGTATAAAAAGAGAGGAGACAAGACAGGAATGACCAAATGCAAGTACAATGAATAATAGCTTGTAGAAATCCTGTCATGCTGCATAGGTGTGCCCGTTAGAAGAACGCAGCAAAAGCAAGCTATTGCAATTAACACGTTCCTATTGCCTGAGGTTGATTACAAACTTGTAAGTCATGTTGTGAACACCTCTTATCACAGTACATCAGTGTATTGTGTTGGAGGACCTACCATAAGCAAGTTTTAAATGCACACAATTCAAGAATTAAAAATAGAGAACACTCGAAGTCACCCACAGAGCAGATGACTAAGCTATCATATAACTTAGGAAGGAAGGAACCAGAACCAGGAGTAATAAAGCAGGACCAGCAGAGTACTACAACACCAGAAAACAGGACCACAGATCCAGAAAATAAAATACTCTGCGACCCAGGAGGCTGACCCACGGAGGCTGACCCACGGAGGCTAACCCAGAACTACGCACAAGTGACTTGGGAGCGTTGATAACCTTGAATGGGCTGAAGTGCAAATCTCCGATTCCCGACGGTTTGCAGAGGCCACAGTGAGAAACTGCTGACCGCTAGTCATGGCAGTCGGAGTCGTTAGCCAAATAGCCGGGGTGTGGCTATGCCAGACAAGCCATACGCGCCAGCAGCCGTCTGTTGTGGTGCAAGGTTGGCCGGGGTCGTCCGGAGGTGGGGGAAACTAGTTTGTGGAACAGCACCATCCACTGAAGAAAGTAGAATGCAGTCCATGGTCGAAGGTAGCGAACAACTAACTGAGGTTTCCCAACAAGATTTGCGAGTATGTCCTCAAATATTTGAGAGTGCTGCCAACCAACTAGAAACCCCCCTGACCATACAGAGAGTCATGGGAGGGCTAATAGAGCAGCCAGAGATCCATTGTTATGTTCTACCGTGACAGGTGTAAGAAAGCTGTACTAGCACTGAAAGAGGGCAAACAAGTTGAGCCTTCCTAAGTGGCCCTGGCAGTGTTCGCAAGTCGCATGTTATAAAGTTAGTCCTTTGAACCAGATGATGTGGTTGCATTACTAACTGCCCCTACTGGTGTTTCAATTCAATGGCATGGCATTACATTCAGCATTCCTAGCAAATACAGTGGTTTTCAGCCTCTTAGTCATGACACACTACGAACCAAACTGTCACGTTTGATGTTTGTGATCATTGACGAAGTAAGCATGGTAGGTTCCTACAAAGACTGCAGCAGAGGTGTATCCAGAGGGTAAAAGTGTTTGGTGTGAGTATCTTAGCTGTGGGAGACCTGTTTAGCACTGGGAGTGACTGTTATCCCAATTTGTATGGGTCAGGCTCATTGTGGGTTGATCATTTTGAACTGACTGAAGTAATGAGGTAAAGAGGTGACCATGCATTCTCAGAGCTATTGTGAAGAGTTAGAACCAACAGACAATATTAGAACTCAAATCCCGTGAAATAGCAGCAGATGTGGCTTATCCAGCCCATGCTTTTCATGTGTACAGATAAATGCCGATGTTGACACACGAAACACCCGATGTTGAACAACTTGGCTCCACAGAGTGTAATAAAGGCCATTGATTCTGTCGCTGGTAAACCAGTCATATCTCCCTCTCCTCTCTGTTCTGAAATGGGTAGTCTTCACGGTACACTCAAACAGGGTATTGGTGCTCCTGTGATGCTAACAGCCAATGTTGAGTGTCAGATGGCCTTGTGAATTGTGCTAGAGGTGAAGTAGCTAGTTACCAACAATAACAGTGAAGTCACTGGTGTCATTGTAGAGATTGACAATAAAAGAGTTGGCATTAAAAACAACCCGGTGCTATATAGCTGTATATATCAGTATTGGACAGGAAGTCCTTATCACAACATCTAGCGATTTGCACTATATACGCCTAGCGCTAGATGTTGTGATAAGGACTTCCTGTCCAATGGTTAGCCCTCAGCCCACAACTCAGAATACAGCGTGGGTATAGATATATATTCCTATATAGCACCGGGTTGTAACCCTCGGCGCGCATGCGCAGCGAGGGTTACGGTAGTTGTCTGTCTGTCTGTCTGTCTGTCTGTCTGTCTGTCTGTCTGTGTGTGTGTCGACGCTTATTCTGGCACTACAGGCCACGAGGTGGCTAATGAGCGATACCAACGGCTTCAGAACTACGCGAACCTGAAAAATTATTAGGCGATTTTCCTGAAACGACTGCGTTCGAGAGATATGCCGTGAAAACAAGCGAAAAAGCCAATATGCATAATCGCGCTGGCTTACCTCGAACTGATCGGCCGACTCGCGTACGTCGGAGGCACAGAAGTTACAACAGAGGGCGTGTATCGACTCCCGCATGCAGTATACTAGTTTATTGCCTGTTGCTAAGGTGTTGCTAAGTTTATTCCGCAAAATAAACTGCCAACAGGGCAGTGGTTAGGGAGCAGGGAGATGTTGCAGGTGTCAATAACTGGTGTTGATTGGAAAGGACAATAGAAGCTAGGGCGATGTTGCAGGTGTCAATAACTGGTGTGGAATTTTAGTCTGTATATACTGTGTACAAATAGCATGCGTCTTTGCGAGCGCTCCTTCGGCGCATTCGTCTAAGAACTCCCACCGGTGGGAGCATTTCTTGGAAAGACTTAGGCGCTTACTCTTGGATGGAGGCGAAGACGACGGACCGGCGCCTCCCTTTCCCGGATTTGCCCGCTGCGCTGCAACACGGCGCTTTCTCGTAAGTGGCGTTGCCTCGGGTGAACATGGCGGTAAATCAGTCCAATCTTCCATTCCCAACGAAAAAAAGGTCGCTAGAACGAGCCACCGCTGAGGCCGTCAGAAGCGAAGGAGACACAACCGCCCAGTGTAAAATCGACTGTTTGACGTCACGTTACCATAGTAAATACTGCTTCCGGCGTATTAATTGGCAATAAATCAATTATAGCATGCCTAGTCGGTATGTTGCGGTTTATTCCGCCCTCCCCCTCGGGCGCTACGCGCCCTCGGGCGTCGGGCGGAATAAACCAGCAACATACCTCCTAGGCATGCTATAACTAATACGTAGCTAGTCCGTGTCAGACTCTCCGCGAGCTACTTGCGGGAGACCACTGCTAGCCTAGACCCATCCCACCAATTAGCGATACCGCGCATGCGTAATGCGCCGAGGGTTTGCACTTTAGTGCTTTTCATTTGAAGTTGGACTACAACTACCTACCTTGTAAGAAAATGGTATGTGAAGAATGCTTTGAAGATGAATAGCTAATGAGGTTCATTTTGGGCTAAGACACCTACACGCAGGTCTCTTAGTGATAAGACACCTGCGGTTAGGTGGCTCAGTTCTAACTAAGACCCTCCCGTTTACAGTACGCGCAGACCGGGGCGTCCAGAAGCGACGATCACGAGCTGAGACTGCTCAGACAAGGCCCTGACTCGAACAGTTGCGATGCTGCTAATAACAGTGATTCTCAGTCATCGTCGACGAAGTCTTAGACAGTCCCCGGTGTGGAATCGGGAGGCCTCTCCCCTGCCGGGCTACCGTCGAAAAGTTGAGGCTCCGCCGCTAATAGTCAGCATCGACGCAATCGTGGATTGCGCCTGGTATCGGCTTGGGAGAACTCTCCTCCCCGGTGCTTTCTTCAAAGAGCTGCTACCAACCAAGGTTGGCGGACGAGCTACAGCCAACCGTACGGCTATCCATTTTCTTAACAAGTAAGACGGCAGATTCGAGTGTCCTGCAGCCCGCGTGGTCGGTTGGAATGACGCAATAGAAACCTCGGCACCGCCCGGTTACTATTGCGCATTCCTATGGGAGGTGATTCGTGCCAAAATTCGACGATGTGACGAACCCGTTTTGTCCGTCTGGAGGAGGCGTGATTCGTCGGGCGGAGGCGCGTTTGTTCCAGTGGAGAGGCGTGTCTCGTTCAGCGGGAGGGGCGCGGTTTATGCGGCGCTGGACACGTCGTGAGAGCCCGGATGTCAGACCTAGAGCAGCTGGTGAGTGCGACCTCTCAGCTGCAGCAGCAGCTTCTTGAGAGCGCGGTGCGGGGTCTTGAAGGTCAGCCATACTAGCCGTGTATGAATAGCCATCCTAGGAAGTTATTCTTATTAACGCCGTCCTTGCCCTTTGACCGGAGGCGGTTATGGGAACCCGACGATGGAGATACGCCTCTCCACACGAAGAAACTTGCCTCTTTCCTCCTCTCGACTTGGCACGCCTCTCCACTTGAAAAAAACTTGCCTCCTCTCGACGAGACACGCCTCTCCACTCGTAAAAACGCGCCTCCGCTCGACGAGACACGCCTCTCCACTGGAACAAACGCGCCTCCACCCGACGAATCACGCCTCCTCCAGACGAACAAAACGGGTTCGTCACATCGTCGAATTTTGGCACGAATCACCTCCCATACATTCCAACCTCCCACGCGGGCTTTAGACCCACGAAGACACTCGAATCTGCCGTCTTACCTATACATAGACTCTCAGCGAGAAACCATGCGTGAATGGATAGCGTGGCCCTGCCCATGCGCACACGACCGGGAGGGTTTTGTATAATATTTTTAAGTGTTGACCATGTGGAGACCAAGTGTCAGTAAGACGGCTGAAATGTATCATGATGCATCTTCGGGGTTCTCTCGAACTACAAATTTTTCAACAGCGCTAGCAGAAGTTTACGAAGCTCATTTACAAGAAGTGGCAGGTCGGTCCACCTGAAGTCTTTGGTGCAGTTGTTATTTTTACGGTGTTCTGGAAATTCCTTTCTTACGATAGCTCCACTGTACGCAAACAGGCAGAATGCGCCTCCCTGTGATTCCCCATGACTCCCCATGACTCCCCAGTCTCCCAGTGTCTCCCTATGACTTCTGTTTCTCCCTATGTCTCCTGTTTTACCCTATGACCTCCCAAGTCTCCCTTTATTCCGTAGTTCGCTATGAGTCTTCTTGGACTCTCCAATCTATGTGTGTTGTGTGTGTGTGTGTGGTATATAACAAACTGTTAATCAACAGCCTTTGTGTAAGATAATAAGCTCAAGCTTGAGAGCACCGTATTGCAAAGCCGCCTGGCAAGCTTGTTGCTTGTAGAATAGCAAGCCTGTGTTTTGAGGAATGAGCAATACCACACCTAGCGCTCTATCAGAACTAGCTTCAATATCAAAGCACCGTTTCATTGATTAGTGAACTTGCCAACAATGACAGTTCAATATGTTAAAAATGGTTTTGTTAATATTGTTTGATTTATGATGCTATAATAGTGGAATCGGTTTGAGATTACTACATAGATCGTGAATAGAGTTTTATGATACATAAGTACATTAAGCATCAGATATTAAAGTGGGTGTATAAATGATTTCATACTACTTCTGTGTGACAAGGCCATGATAGGCCACAGATAACTAAGACTGGCTTATCTTATTTGTTTTCAGCATGTAGCTTATCATCAGGTATCAGTAGTAGCAGTTTGGTACTTGTGATTGCATGCCTGCGTTGACGAAGTTGTGGATTATCCATGTATATGTGACCGCGACGCAAAAAAGTGGTGATGTAAGTAATAAGTTAGTAGAAGCGAAACAGCAGGTACCGTTGCGATTTAGATTTTCCACATAGAAGGGGAACTAGAAGAGAGCTATCTACTTTTGAGCGTTGAACTCGTTCGCCAGGACAATGGAGGCGACTCGAATAGGCTATGTCGATCTCCATGCGGGGTGACAGGCGCAATAAGTGGGAATTACACGGAGGAATTTACTGGCCATCCAAAAACAACGGGCTACCGAGGAGCTTGGGTCCAACGATGATAAACTAAAAGCCATGTCTGCTGCCTTCGTTGAGCCGTCTTCTTGAATAGTATAGTTCCACAATCGTGCAAGCGGCTTTGTAAGATGCCCGACGTGTGACGGAGAGCATATTCGACAAATTGCTAACAAAAGAAAGTATAACGCTGGGGGTTATTAAAAGCAGTATATCTCCGGAATGGAACGGGCTATCTACAGCATCAAAATATTTTTAAAACGAGCACAGAAGAAAGGGTGAAAACGTCGAATCCGGTATGAGGGCAGAGGATGGATGGGTCAGTGAGTAGTAGGGAGGAGGGCTGAGAGTTGGTTTTTTTTTTTTTTTTTTTGTTTTTTTGCTGCATTGTGATGAGGAGATGTATGGCTATTGAACGAAGAGGTGCAGTAGGGAAGGAGTCGTGGCGGACTAGAGATGGCGAGAGTGGGAGCTGCAGAATTGATTTTACGAAGGAAGCGGCAAAATTTGCGGTTGTATCTTGCGCTATAATGCGGTATTAGAGTCTGTAAACTTGCAGTCATGGTTGATTCTGCACGGAAAGCAATGACTGTTTTTTTTTTTTTTTTTTTGTTTTTTCTTTTTTTTTTTTTTTTTTTTGGTGTGGAGGGGGGTGGGGGGGGCGCGGGCGGTGCACGGGGGTGGGGGGGGGGGGGGGGCGGGGGGGGGGCGGGGCGGGGGGGGGGGTGGGCGGGGGGTGGGGGGGGGGGGTTGGGGCGGGGGGGGGCGAAAGGGGGAGGAAGGAGGGGGGGGGGAGGAGGGGGGGGGTGGAGGGGGGGGTGGGGGGGGGGGGAGGGGGGAGGGGTGGGGGGGGGAAGGGGGGAGGGGGTGGGGGGGGGGGGTGTGGGCGGGGGGGGGGGGGGGGTGGGGGGGGCGGGTTGGTGGCGGGGGGGGGTGGGGGGGGGGGGGGGGGGGTGGGGGTGGGCGGGGTGGGGGGGGGGGGGGGAGGTTTTGTGGGGTTGGGTGGTTTTTGGGTTTTTGGTTTGTTGGTGGGGCGCGGTGGGCGCGAATGGTGGGGGTGGGGTTGGGTTTTTGTTGGGTTTTGTTTGCGTGGGGTTTTGTTTTTTTGGGTTGTTTTTGTGCTGGGTGGGTTGGGCGTGGTGGTGGGGTTTTGGGTGTTGGTTGTTTTTGTTTTTTGTGGTGGGGTGTGTTGTTGTGTTGTTTGTGTTGTTTGGTTTTGTTGTGTGTTAATTTTGTTGTTGTGTGTGTGTTGGTTTGGTTTTTTTTTTTTTGTGTTTGTTGTTTGGGGGGTCTTGTGGTTGGGTTTGGTGTTTTTTTTGTTTTTATATGTTTTTGTTTTGTTTGTGTTTCATTTTTTTTTGTTGTGTTTTGTTGTTTTTTTTTTTGTTTTTTTTTTTTGTTTTTTGTTTTGTTTTTTTTTTTTTTGTTTTTTAAAAATGTTTTTGTTTAAATTTTTTTTGTTTTTTTTTTTTTTTTTTGGAGTTGTTATTTTTTTTTTTTTTTTTTTTTTTTGCTGTTTTTTTTTTTTTTTGTTTTAAAACCCCTAGAGTG